AGGCATAATTCCTTATGATTGGCAAGCTTACTTATCCCAAATGAAAAAAGTGTGTTCAAGGCCATCAGTTCAAAGTAAATTTCTTTATCTTTTTATCTCCCTTATTTGTAGCTCACTGGCAATTACTGGTGTCCATCTCAACAGAGCCCTAGTAATGGCTGCATGTAGGAAACAGCTGGATTAGGCCTATTGAAATTTTATCTTTATGATTTAACAATATCTTCTTTAAAGCAGTGAAAACATTTAGTGAGCAATAAACAGTAATAGGCCTTTGGCTGGCAATTTAAGAAGGAATCCAATTATAATTTATTTCATGAGCCTGACATGGACATGGGCAAAGTACAGAAGCTAGGTGACTGATGCTGCATGTCTAACTGTTGTCCTTTTTGTAGAATGACTTCAGAATCATCCAGTCACATTTCAGTTTGAGACTGGGGAGATTTTGGGAGGGCATCCAGGTTTATTACAGGTAGAATGCAGTAACATACATATTTTCGCATTTGGCAACAGGTTAATCTTACAATTTCCATAACCTAGTCAGTAGATTTAGAGGTTGTGTCAGGTGAGGAAGACACTGTAGGAAATTTTTTCATGGTGCCGTTTTCCAGAAGGACTTACTGTATGAGGTCAAACAGGAAGTTGATAGCGTAGACTAATGCCAAATCTCCTTGACCTTTACCCGCCAAGCATTTTTGTGTTGGAAATGATACTTTGCACAAGCGTCTCAACTTTTCATGTGGGTGCAACCGTCAGATTAGTATGATACCTATTTCTATATTCAACTTCTATGTTATGGTTTTCTGATGTGTTGTAAGTAACTTGAAGTGATGTCAAATTTCTAAGAATGAAGACATGTTTTCAAACGTTTTTGTTGAAATGCTGTATTTAGAAGTAGTAGCGTGTAAAAACAGGGCGCTGCACCGATTCTGCCTCCACACCTCACGACATTGCCACATAAAACACAGCCTTATCATCACGCTTATTTATCTGCCTCGCTTCTCAGACGGCCTGATCCAGGGAGACGCGCGCTGAGACTAGCAGCCCTCTGCTCGTGGCTCTGCTCCCAGCGCTCCGCCGCTGTTGTCTCCCCATCCTGTTTGGCGGTGGGACAGATGTTTGAGTTTCGCTCTGGTCAGGGAGGATTCTCCCCGCGATGGAAAGTCCTGTGTTTGCCAAAGGAAAGCTGGCTCCACGCTCTGCAAGTCACAGAGTGCACAGGCCGTGGAAAGAGGAGGAAAGAAACCGAGGGTGTGTGCCTGCTTCACTGTGTTCCTTTCCAGTCCATCCTCATCAGCCACACTGCAGACCCCCACCCGATTAAAGCCAGCAGGATCTGATGCTGATTTAGGAAACTATACTGTAAAAAGGAAACTCTGACCACCCCTCCACAATAATCCACTTCAGAAACATGCATTTAAATGTATACAATGTATAATGCACACTGGTAAATTTTGCTGGTTTTTTGTCAGTAATTAGCAGTAATTATCTTATTTCAAGCTTTGGAATGAGAAATAATTGTTGCTTGTTTTTGAATCTCTCAGCCCTTTATGGTATACTCGTGTGTAAGTACTCTTCAGGATCCCCACGTAATATCTACCGGTGGTTCGAATTCAGAATAGTCTTGCTCAATAAATGTGTACTTTTCCAGTACACATTTGATGGTGACCAGCATTTCATTTTGTGTTCTGTGGATGGAAGTGCTGTGTTTTTCACAGTAAAACACAGGAAGGTCTGCACTCTTTAATAATGAAGATGCTTTATTCTATCCTTTACTGCATTACATGTCAAGATTCGCAAGACCCATAATCTATACTTTTTGCCAAAACTGATGAAGCTAAAAAAAATCCAGTTTCAAAAAAACAATCCATCTCCCCATCGCCAGTTAAAACTAGGACTAGTATATTCATGCAGGCGTTCTGTATCATTCATGTGTTTTTTCTGCTCGCTCAAGTGAGAGCAAAAATGTGTTATCAAAGAGAAGACCATAACACTAATAATGAGAGTGAGACTTTATCTAGACCGGGTAGAGATTGATTTCCCTGTTTTTCTGAGGAAAGTATCCAACATTCTCTTCTGTTGAGGTGTGTCGATTTGTCTGACCTCTCACTAGCTCTTTGTTGCATGTCGACCTCCAGACCACCACTGATCAATCGTTGGAGACAAGGTCAGGGGCTAAGATGGTTGTTTTCTTCAGGTCTCAGAATCAGTTTCACTATGTAAACAAATAAGAGCTATGGTATGTTGGACTGTGTTGGCAGACCCAAGCACTGAACACTGTTATTTGGTCTGGCAAAGTGCTCACTATAATCACTGTACTTACTATGCCAAAAGCTACATCATAGCCTTTCATTAAAATCTTATTCTGAGAGACATGAAGTCACACAATAAGAATGGTTGTTTTTTCCCAGAGAGAAAACACAAGCATGTATAAAGACTTGAGAAAGAAAATAGTTTTTGTAATGTTTATCAGTTGCTTTGAAGAACCCTGGTGGCAGGGGTGTGTTTGCCCTTTGACCTGTGTGATCCCTGAACTCTCTCCATTTGTGTTTTTAGGTGTCTGGAGGCGGAGCTTCTTGTGGTGGTAGAGCATACTATGGTGGAACTCACACTAAGGGTGGAGCTAATGACAGAGGCAGAGATCATCTCGTGTCTCTTTCCAAAGCTGATCTTAGGATGCTGGTGTAGGCAGGGTGTTGACATTTCAGTATTCTGTCAGGTTTTGCTTCTCTCTGACTACACCACAGAGGGATGGATCCTTTGCTTACCCTGTCAGTCGAGTACATTAATATTAGTCATTTTACTTTAATTATAGTGTTGTCTCTAATGACTGTTTAAAGCAAGTGGAGGAATTATTTCACACTGTGATCAAAGGTAATGCTGGGTCTTTACACACATTCATAATACACATTGTGCCTCCAGTGTATTGCTAGGTAACAGAACTCAGGATTATACAGAAGTCCATAGAAAAGGACAGCTTGGTTTTGAAATAATGCTGTGACTCGGTCTTTCTGATCACTTTACTGGTCTCTGAACAATTCAGTAGCACTGGCAGATTGATTGATTGTCTGAAGTGGAAGAATAGTCCTCTGGAAAATAGAACTGAAAAGTCACTAGCATCTGACAGTGTAGACAAAAAGTAGTATTAAAATGTTTGAGAATTTTATTAATAAATAAATAAATATTTATAAGTATGCTTTAAAACAATTCATGTATGTAGGATATAACCTAATGCCACATTAGGTTATTAGGTTAGATTATTATTACTGGATGAATGAAATTAATATATGGACCGGACAGCTTAGTGTGTTTCACATTGAAAATCATGTCTCTGCCATTAGTGAAGCTACAAGTGTTTTGATTTGCTGGCTCGCTGTGAACATGCTTGATGGGACCTGATCTAAAACAGAACATCCATAGCATGCACAGTGATATGGACAGCACATCCTGTTACCAACCAGAACGTCATAGATGGAGGACAGAAGGAACGCAGGCCCTGAATGTCTGATCATAATATAATTCTGTGCTGTTGCTTTCTGGTCATTTGGTTAGTGTAACCTATAAAAGGAAATGTTATTGGGGAAGGTGACTGACAGCAGTTTTTCCCAGTCGAAAGGCCGCTGCAGATAATCATGACATAATGTGAAAATTAAAACAGTGCAATCAATATCATGAAGGTTGGGTGTTTTTTGGGGGTGGGGGGGCTGTACACACAAAACAGGTGGGCCAGACCTGGCAAAGAGGGCTGCAGGGATTACTGTGTACAACTGTAGACATCTGGAATAGCAGAGGTCTTGCGTGTGAGGATCCTTTCATCAGTGCCTCAAGTGAGTTTGCTGTAGACATTTAAGAAAGGGCTGTTGCACTAAAAAGAGTTTTTCACAATTGAGATTAACGAGCACACTGCAATGACCAGGCATTGAAATATGGTGATTATTGCGTACATATGACCAGCCTGAACCTCAAAATGTGACCAAAACAATCAAAGATCACAAAGGATTTTAGAACCAAAAAAGTCTTGTGCATAGGTCAAAATATGATTAGCGGTGTGAATGCAAACGTTTAGCACCCTAGAAGATGACTAATGAGCCGGTAATAGTGGAAGGGAATCACAGGTGTGGTGTATACTGTGGAGTTTTGAAATGGGCTTGCCATTCTGGTAAGGCTGTGGTGTGTTTTATAGATATTGTTGAAATCTTGGTCCTTTGACACAGACAGGTTAAAGTCCAGCCTATCCTTGGTTGAGAATTGTAATGAACATACAGCCTCATGATTAAGGTTATGGTCGTTTAGCAGGCACTCTTATCCAGAATGACTTACATGTGCTAGTTTTTACATGTTATCTATTTATACAGCTGGATATTTACTGAGGCAATTGTGAGTTAAGTACCTTGCACAAGAGTACAGCAGCAGTGCCCCAGCAAGGAATCGAACCGGCAGCCTTTTGGTTACAAGCCCTGCTCCTTACCACTGCACTAAATGGCCTCACACTGATTTCTGAAGTGAGTGAGCTCATTCAGTTCCTCATGGTTCCCACATGTGATACCGCATTACCCAGATTTTACACCCACTCGTATGACTTCCTACCCAGCTGTCCCCATCCCACTCCATCAGAACAGCTGCTCTTCACTGCATTAAAGTGTGCAGCATAATTAGTCACTGACATTACAGCGTGTCGATGTGTCATTCAGTTCATAGGATGTTCCCATAGGCGCAGAAAAAAATTCTCACATCCTCTGTGAGTTTGGCTCTTGCGTATGTGTGCCATATCATTCATCAGTTTGCAGCAATTTTGTTGGGTCTGGGTCTGTTCTCTTATATGGGCTGAACACCAGTCTCTTACATTACATTATTATTATTATTATTATTGGCATTTAGCAGACGCACTTATCCAGAGCGACTTTCATAGGTTACAATTTTTTACATGTTATCCATTTATACAGCTGGATATTTACTCAGGCGATTCTGGGTTAAGTACCTTGCCCAAGGGTACAATAAAAGTGCCACAGTGGGGAATTGAACCAGCAACCTTTTGGTTATGGGTCCTACTCTTTACCACTATGGTACACTGCCACCCCATTTTAGCAATGTTAAGGCCAGAGTGGTGTCACAGGTGCATGAGAATGGATGTGTGACCGTCATTCTGATGTGTCACTTCTGTAAGTCGGTCACACAGAGGGGGGGCAACTGTGAGACATGACAGCCTCTCTGTGGCCATGCTGACCCATCCTGAATGTGGCTGTCTGTCCACTGTGGGGGTTGACACTGGTGAAAAAGCCATCCTCCTGGTCTTTGATGTAAGCCCTGTGCAGTTCAGGCTGAGGTGCTGTTTTTGTTTCCCCCTCCTCTTCAATTAGGGCTCTGCCGCTCCAGATCACAGTTCCGCTGTCACATGTTTTCCTTGTTAGAGAAACCTTGGGAGTAATATCAGATTAATGCAAGGTCATGCCATTATGACTCACTTTAGTGGAATCCTTGTTTTTTCATGCAGTGGAGTAGCTTTGTGAAGTTCCTTGCTTTATAAGGATTTATGGAACATGTTGAAGCTTCAAAGCCTTGTTAGCAGATAAAACTTTTTCGCTGTAACTATTTGGGCTGTGTATGAACTGATATGCTCAGTATGTAATACATTTATTCATTGCAATACACAGCAATATACTATGAAAATGTTAACAACCAGTTGTTACAGAGTACTCCATCAGCAGAGACTGATGTTCCCATGCGGAAATGACAAAGTATCGTCAGAAGGATTAAGTGTAACTTCATTCATACCTGTACTTCTCTCTAATGTGTTAATTGTTTTCCGAAGGATGTCATTGGATTGAATAGTATTTTGGAGGTGCTAAGCATTATTCATAAATCCGTAATTTTTCTTTGTAGATACTGATTCTCCAAAAATATAACATATCATACCTCATATATGAGAATAAAATGGTTTATGTAAAGTAAATCATCATTATTTAACAATTGAATTATCAGAAAGGCACAGGTGGTTATGATCTGTACCACAGTTTGCATACACTAGTGACACATTCACAGATAAGACACAGGCTGGATATTTCAAGGTCTTATTTATTTATTTAATTCAGAAAAGTACTTAGTCTTATGTTCCTGTTGGCCTTTCAGTCTTAATTAAATACATGTATATTAGGGATGCAAATAACTGTTAGTAACATATTTGGTTACCTGTCCTGAGGCAATTTATATCTGTTTAATGATAATAATGATAATCTCAGATCCCTGTTGAACTTGATCATGGCACTACTCACTGCAAAAATAAAATAAGAACACTGCAAACTCCAGAGTAACTTATATTTGCTTTGAGATATATTTGCCCCTCCCATTGGCTACATATTGCATGCCCCATGTGCAAATAACTCTGCCACTGCCCTCCCTAAAACTCATTCCAAACAACTAGTGACATGGGCACAGCTTTTTTCTGGCATGCCTTGCAACTCAGATCAGAAAAGGTAATGTGACGCACGTTAGCTAAGTGCAATGTCTCGTGGGAGGAAAGGGCAGATCCACTGCCTGGCACAGGTACCTGACTCCACACGGCTCCGCGCTAACAGCGTGGCATGCCAGCCAGCAGGAAGTGTTCTGTTGGTGTTAACAAGTGTTCTGGCTACAGGCTACATCAGTTGAAAACCTATTGCTTTACTCCCCCCCCGATCGTTTTGAAACACAATGTGACACATTGGTGAATTAGTCGAGATTACTGAGTTTAATTTGTTAAACCTGTAAAGAAAATTTGTGTTCTTTCTCTTTTTGTGCACTATGTTTATTAAATAGTAAAATATGTTTTTTTATCCATTTGTAAGATTTTCCTGTTTTCTGCTCTTCATTATGTCCCCTGATGACTGTAGAGGTTGTTTGTGTATCCTGACTCTTGGTTTTGATGTATACTGCAGTTGTTGTTGAATTCCGGTTATGTCAGTTACTGTACATTATGTGAGGGGTTGTCTCAGAATGTTGTGACAACATTGTTTGCTTTAGGTATGTATGTGTGTATTTATATGTGTATGTATGTGGGTTGGGGAGTTGGGGTGAGTGACTCTTGAGTTTTTAAGCACTCACTATGTTAGTTATTTATATAGTTAATTCTGTAGTATTGTATACAATTTTTGAACTGAACACTGAAAATCATTTGATGGAAAGAAATAGAGAGGCCCCTCACTAGCTACCATTCCCCATCATGAATTACTACAAAATCTACATTGAAAAATAACATCTGGAGTCCATTTCAAGATCAGACATTTTCTTAAAAAGTACATCACTATCAAATTAGTGGTCATCTAAAGTTGTCAGATTCAAAGCAAACCCATGAAGAATAAGTGCCGTGGGAAAGAACATATAGGTCATAGGAGGAAAATCATAATGGCTGCCAGAAAGATGGAGGAGATAATCTGAAATGATCTCCTTTAATAACATATGAGTAGTTGAAAATTGTAATATGAACTAATTATTGACAAGTAAAATATAAAAGTCTGCAGAGGTGTATCTTTTGGAAATGATAAGAAGATAATGTAAGACTGCTTAGTCCTACTGAGCAACTTCTCATGTTGATCTAGAAATAGGCTGTCTTTCTGTGTTCCACTGGGTGCAGTAATGTCCAGTAATGTCTTCTCTAGCATGGCCGCAGTGTGTAGTTGGTAACCAGGTCAGCAAAGGTGACCGGCACTTTCTCTGGGCTGAAATGGAGCCCTGGCCCTGCATGGCCACAATGTTCCCTGTGAAGTTCTCTGAGGCAGTTCTCTGTGAATGCTGTAATTAGTGGAGACGTGTCTAAGGGGGAGCACTGCACACAGACTGTGTTCAGGGAGCAGGATTATGCTCTGTGAGAAACAGAGTTTTCCGCTTGCTCGTTCAGCCATTTAGGGGAAGGCAACCTTGCGTTGATTTGAACAAACTCTTTCATCATACCAAAACAGATTTTTATTTTACACATTCTGTATGTTTGTCCTCTAAACAGACCCTTCGTTTGTCGGTGTCTTTGTTTTGTCAATATATCCTGTGCTCCCCTGTCCCCACATGGCAAGTATTGACGTCACATTGGGGTCAGTTTAACCCAGAAATCTAATGGAAAGCAAAATATAGCAAAAAAAAGACTAAATATCATTTAAAACGCCTCAAATAAAATGAAGTGGACACAAAACACTGGTAACATAGGTTTTAGGGAGCTGCAAACACCATGGTGACAAAGGACCTCCCTGTCATGATCACACCAGTCTTCTCTGTGTGCTTCACTGGCTCACTCAGGATAGAGCTCCGCTTCATTATAAATCCACAGTCATGCAGTGTGTGATAACATTACTGAGGTCACATTCCTCCTAACCCCAAATCACAGTGTAACGGCAAACGTTCTCCTTAAATGAAATGGTGGAAAAATCACAGTCACCACTCGGTGATTTACGAGGACGAACGCTGAGCATTGAAAAAGGCTTTTGTTCAGTTTTTGGTGAAGTGTATCTTTTCTTACTTTAATTCCACTGCGATAAGACACCGTGCAGGCATATTGCACAGGCAGTCATTAACCATGATCTACGTTCACACAATTGGCCAATTACTGTAGTCTCACAGTAATTTTCATCTGTATCAGGGCTAATAGGATTGTGTGAAATGTCTCTGATACTCACTCGCAGTCATGAAAAATATATTAATATATTCATATATATTAATGAATATTTCACCGGCAAAAAATATTTCACATCTGAATGACTGCCACCAATTTTCTGGACCAACAAATCCACTAGTGCTAGGTAATATTCCCCAATAATTCATACCATTTTGACCTGTCAGCAACCTAAGACTGCATATAGTATTATTTTATAATGGAGAGGTATTTCACATTGATCTTGACCATAGAAGTAATGAAGGAAATGCAACAAAGTTACATGCCTTTTACTCTCATGCTCACTGGAGTTTGGGGTTCAGATAGGAAAAGAAAAAAGACATTTGCCTCACATGTGAGGAAGGTTACCTGCAATTTCCATTTAAGGACAGATAACTCTAATCCAACGGTTTTAACCATTTTTTTTGGTTACAACCCCTTCCATTTCTTATTGTTGCCATGATTCCTACCCCACCCAGTAAACATTGTATGATATTTGCTTAGCAGATGCTCTTATCTCGAGTGAATTACATCGTTTACAATTTTTATGTCATCCATTTATGTAGCTGGATATTTATTGAGGTAACTTCAGTTAAGTGCCTTCACCCACGGGTGCAACAGCAGTGGCCCACCTGAGAGGCAAACCCAGCAACCTTTGGGCGACAGACCCTGCTCTGTGTCACCCTGTTGGACATTGTCACAATTTCAGATAAGGCATTTATTCTTTCATTGAGCAGGTGTATGAAACCTTTATACATTTTAGTACCTGGCCAATGCCTTTCAAACATTTTTGGTACTGAATGTGAAATTGTAGCCACACGGTTTTTCAAGTTGACAAGCTGATTGAGACAAAGCAGCCCACACAAAACAGCCTCTGATACTTCAGGGTCATAGATGATAACATTTTGGAGCAAGAATCTATCCGCACATCACAAAGTGGTGAAATATAACCAAAGTCTAGCCAAGCTTAAACTTCTACTTTGAATTTTAGTATAGTCCATCTGTTTTGAGATTTTTTTTTTATTGTTGTTTTTGTCCGTTTTCCTGTTTTACTCAAAAACCTGCATAAATCATGTCTCAGACTGTATTTACATTAAAAACACGGAGCACAAAATGCCACATAATTTTGTAACATCGTTCACAGAGGGACAGTACCGCCCTGATTCCAGGATCAGCTGAGGCTAACCAGTGCCCCGAGGTCTGGTGTTGCGAAGAGCTCACATGAACCAGCTTTTGCATGTGGATTCAGTAATCCACACACAGTTCTGCTCTGGGTGGTTCTGCAGAAAGCCTGGATGTGATTGGACGTAAGCCACTTACTCACAAGTCCTAACTGGAAAGCAAAATTTAGCAGGAAGTTTGCATGTGCTGTAAAGTGGCGGAGAATAACGTTGCCACAGCTGACGTGTGGGTTCAGATCAAGCTGTCTGTAATTGAACAGGAGAACATTAGGAGATGTATT